ATTTATGTGGTTCGACTGGCTGCTGACGATGATAAGGTGAAATGAATGGTGCATTTTTTAGAGTGCGATGCCTTGAACAAAAGCACACACATGGGGCACGAGAAACAGGACTGGCAGCACTCCCACCCAATAAAGCGCCACAATATTTACATTTTACAAATGGATCGGATACACGTTCGTTTAATTGATAGTTTCAATGTTGCGTAATGTTTGCCGTCAATTTGATGTGGTTGCGTGTGCTTTTTTTCTGGTGGCTATCCAACCAAAATGTACATAAATTATCTTCACTCTTCAGTAGTTCGTGCATTGAAATAAGCCGTAATAGACACTCATGAGAAGAACAAAGGGATATTGCAACTTTTTTGACCAGAAAAAACGCCATCTTACGTCGTGCCCGTAAATTATTTTACTGTACATTTAGATGGTAGAGCTTGAACAAAAGTTCGACACTATGCATAAACTTGGAAAGAGCTTGATAAACTTGATGAAATATATATATATTTTATGGTCGTTGCAATACCCCTATGGAGAAGAAAATATATTTCGATAACTTCGTTAGCAAACCCCACATTAACTGCATTCTCGCGTTATCATTTCAGCATTAATGATTCGTGACGAACTTTATGACCTCTTGCAAAAATGTACATAAATTATCAAAAATTAAAGAAACGAACGAAAATTCATTTGTAAAGCAGTTTCCGTGTGCAATATTGTAAAATGGCTACCAGGTAGCGAAAGATTCGACTCATATGTTCCGTTGTGAATGTGTTGAACATCGATGATGATGATGATGATGATGATGATGGACATATGAAAACTATGCTCCGACCATCATGACGCGCGCAACAACCGACGGTTGTCTTTTTTGCGCCCATTGAAAATTGAAAGTCAACTGTTGCCTCGTTTCTTTTTATCTCATTTTTCGCACGGAAAGCGTATACCATGTGCAAACCTGTGCGCGCACCAGAGATAGGTACGTCATGTGCGTATGGTGTTTGGTAGCGATGTTGCGATGTCAATATTTACGACTTTTGCATCCATTATAATTTATTCGTGAAGGGCCCCATTTGGCGACGTCTATGAAGTTGTTGAAAAGCGAATTTCTGTGTCATGGTTATTAGTTACGATAGCAATCGTCACCTGAACTACATACGCACAACGCATATATCATTTAGCCTGAACAGAGAAAAAAAAAACCACGTAAAAAAGGTCGAAATCGAATTGATTTAAGACATCGAATCACGAAATCCGCATTGTTTATAGTCGTACAAAAATTCGTAGAGAGAAAAACATGCGGCAGACAGTGTGTCAGTGTGTTGGTATTGCTACCAGCGTATGCGATTGGGTCGCGTGCGCGCCGCTGTCATGCAAACCGCCTTTCAGAACACATATCGTTCTGATCGCTCGCGACTGTGTCTGTTACCGTCTAGTGTGTGTGTGTGTGTGCTTTGCATTGAGCGGCGAAATTGCTGGATGCGTGTATTTTCCATGTGTTTACGATTTTTCGTGTGTTTGCATCTCTGTCTCTGAATCGTTGTTCGCGATCGAAACTCGCAGGTCTGTGGTTACATTGTTGTAGTTCGCATCAGTAGTGTGCGTCTGAACACAGAAGAGGAACGATCTCGCCCGTTACCCTGTGTTTCACTGTCAACATTCGTGAGAGTGTTTGTATTTCGAATTTCTCGCACGCGGATAATTTCAATTGCGCAAGTCAGTTTCGGCGACGCGCGTTCTTCATATTGCACTGAAACTCACACCGAACATCTTTTTTTTTTACTTCATATATACACATATTGTATATTCCCTTCTCTCATCGCGTTCTGTTTTCTTTTCTCTCTCACTCTCTTGTATTTTTCTCTGTTGTTCGTGGATGTTACTCTCCTATAAATAAAACGAAGTGTGCTTATAATTGTTTGTACCGCTCGAAAAATTATACTATATGTAGATACATTTCTTTTTTGTTTTCTGTATACCAATTCTTCGAGTTCGTCGAGTGGAATCAAGCAAAAAATAAAAATATAAGAAGAACGAGTGAGTTCAGTGTGTGTTTGTTACAGCAATATAATTTAGTAGTTTTGTTACTTCAATATTTACGTATAGACATCGACATATTCTCAACAAAGAATAGCTTAGTTGAAATTTCTTTGAGCACAATTGAGTTGGTGAAAGCTGAATAGCTCAATTGCAATTGACCAAACAAACGATTTAGGTTTTGAAACGGAATTTTACAATTTTAGCTTTAGCTACATACACACACCGCACCATTTCGTTAAACGTTTCGGTTTAAGTGTGCGCATTTTGATTTGGTTGGTATTTTAAAACAGTTCGAACAATTGACACTGATAGGGAGTTTTTTTTTGTGCTTTTTTCTGTTGTAGATATCAATTAAATAATTCAATTTCGGGAAAAAAACGCAGCCGATTCGAAACAATCAACGTAATTTGTGTTGATCAAAGGCAAGTTTATACGTCATTGCTTTAGATACCATGATTTAATATTCTGTTCGTTTTGTATAGTTTGGAATAAAGTATTAAATCCGAATTCATTTGTCCGATGTTCGCACAAGCGTAAAGGTCAAACCATCGTACGAATCTGTGCGACGGAATTGACAATGAGCCCAAAATAAACAAGAGAAAAAAAAATTCGTGTAAATGCGTTCAATCGTAAATATGTTTACAATCGAAAATATATGACGGTTGAAGCAACAATGCCGAAAAACCAGAGATTTCATCCAAGGTCATGCATTCAGTGTGTTTTCGTGTGTTGTGTATTATCCGTTCTATGCAGCTATATTGCGGCTCCACATATGCAACTGCAACAAGCTGCTGCAAACGGTTTTCAAATTGAAAGTGAATAGTAAAACTCAGAACAACCACTATTTCAGCATTCAAACCGATAAATTTTGTGTTGACAAAATGAATGCTGTTTAGTATTTTGGTGCTTGCATTGGCACATTCTGCACATGCACACACACACACACAATACACACAATTAAAATGATGAAAAAGTGGTTTGATACCTTTTTATGCGGCTTCATTGTTCTCGAACATTCAAAAAGGGATGACTCAGATACAAGGGTGTTTCGTGCAACCCTCGTTCCATTTGCAACGTATTAAGCTCATGACATTTACGGCGAAACGGATACTCTCTATCTCTCTCTCTCTCTCGCTCGCTGCGAACATTTATTCTCCGTTGACATCGAACAATACCGTCGTGAAAACGGCCCGAATTGCCCGAATAATAGAATTGAAACGCCTCAATGAAACCATATGAATAGGCTCGAGAGCGGTTGTTTGTTTTTTCGGCGAGCGTATGCCGGAGCCACCAAAATAAAATATGACAAAATTATTGTCATTTGATGCCAATTCCATTGTTGTTGGTGGAACAGGCGACGAGTTGTTTTTTTTTTTTGGTTCGTTTCAATTGAAAGTTTCAAATTCACTTGTTTTCCGTTACTTGTTTTATGACTGGACTATGGATTGATAGCAAAAAAGCATTTTACATCATTCAATGAAATCGGAGATAACAGAGATACACTCAATACGTTTGCTCACTTTAGTTTTCGAATTGCCATTAAGGCCACAATGAATTTTTTTTTTCGCTACAAAAAAAAGCACACATAGATTGAAACTCGTTTCACATTTTGACCATATCGGTGACGATTTCGTTAGGTTTTAAAACTGGGTGGTGGCCGTTGCGGAAAAGTTGCATTGCTAACAGTTGCGACAAATTATCTCTGTTCATGGTTTGATGTCTACGATAAAAATGTCACATTTTGATACGCGAGAAAAGAGAAATAAAGGCGATGGCAAAATAAAGATTCAGTTAAAAATCTAATGAGCAGCCAGTCGGTCGCGATTCGATGTATTTCCGATTTAATCCTTGAATTACGAGTATCTTTATTGCGTTTTCAAGTGGCCAGACTCGAACTGACGTCAGTATTTTGGCATTCGATTCAATTAACGTGTTTACATTTACAGAAATATCTCATTTGTTTTTTTGTCGATAAAAAAAGACGAAACTCAACGAATCGCTCAATTTTGCTAAATTAAGTTATCAAGTATTTTGGAGCCATTTTTTGACACTTTCAAGTGGAACGTTTCGTATTATTTCGTTTGTCCGTAAGCTGTTGGCCGCCAAGCGATTCAACGCTATACTCGCCGTAGAGGGAGAGCCAGAGTAATTTGATTACTTCTGAAAAATAATTTTGCATAATATTAACCGAATGACCGCATCGTAGTCTCATGCGATGTGCATCTGATATGAGAAAATCGAATGGATTGTTTTTTTTTATTGTGTTTTGACCGTGCCTCGATTGACTGCAGCATAGAATGGTCGTGTCGATTTCTATATTTTTAGATGTATTATGAGTTTGTGTTTTCTATTAAAATTGAATTACATCACGTTCGAGTGCGCGGCTAAAAAATGACATCGCACAGCCAACGGGACTTATTTTACTCTTTCTCTCTCCCTCGTTCTTCACTTCAATTCACGAAACGTGTCTTCAATAACAATTACAAACGAAGCGAAGGAAAATTTAATTATGATTGATTGAAAGCAACAAGAATGCAATCGTATATTCCTCGCGCGAGATACAATTGCAATCAAATTGCCTGCGAGTAGTCGCGATTTCCATTTCAAATTTTTATCATTCTTCGCTTCAAGCACAATTTTGGATTGGCTTCAAGTGTAGAATGAAAAAAAAAGATCATATTTATTTATGGAAAAAAACACAGCAATCGATCGGTATGCAAATCGAATTCAAATCGTTACCACAAACGGATGATGAATGGTATACGTCTGAACGTGCACGCTCATATCAATTTCGATTTAGTAGTATTTTTTGTAATGACATTCCTTTTTCAATCATCCGGAACTGAACGGATCGTAAATACAATTGCGCTTTCACATACACACACACCAATAAAATATGTCTGAAATTATCGCGAAAAACTAATTTTGTTTTTTTATTTTCTCTTTACAATTGATTTCTCTTGCAGATTGGAACGTTCCAAGGTGCGAGTCACATTCTTTCAAAGTGATAAACCACAACTAATCAGTCCGCCGGAGCCGCAGCATTTAGATTACTTCAGTACCGATCCAAATAGTTTATTGGTTAATTTTAGCGACGAAATGGCATCACAAACAGCTTTACCGCCAAACTACAATAGGCAAATCAGGTGAGTCGATCCAATACCACATCATAAAAATAACTATAAAACTCATGTGATAGAGGATAGGCCAACAATTTTGACATTTCATATCATAACGGCGATGAAAACAATCGAAAGCATTCTCACACGCAATTGAATTGGAAATGAGAGAGAGAGAGAGAGAGAGAGAGAGAGAGAGAGAGAGAGAGAGAGAGAGAGAGAGAGAGAGAGAGAGAGAGAGAGAGAGAGAGAGAGGTACAAGTGAATGCTTGTACCATGTACACGCAACCATTTTCACCGTTTCCAAAATGAAAATAACGAAAAACACAAATAAAAGCGTGTACGCGTTGTCGCGCCGAACCGCCGATGTTAATTGTAAAATCGATAGTTGCTTAATGAGAATAATGTGTCGTACTTTAATGGGTCAGTGAAAGTCCGAATAAAAAAAGAAACAAAGCAATGGAATGCCAAGACAATTACTATGATATATTGTGCTTCAATAGAACGCAACGTACCATGAAATGTAGTGGCCCCGATGTTTCCTACTGGCCTGTATACTGCGTATGTACGTTTCTCAAGTGTCGGTCATGTATAAAAGGATGCAAACTAATAAGTTTCGTTGGGAAGACATACAAAAGCGTGCACATGCAAACCAATTTTCCATAGGACAATACGGCTGAAACCCACCTCATCAAGTGTGTGTGCGTGTGCGTGTGGCCATCGTTTGAAAAATGGGGAATGAAATGAAAGTTGATTCACACTTTACATAATTAATGTGATAAGTTAGCAAACAGAAAAGGCATTCCCCAAATCCATTAACGGTGTTTGTGGATCTCTATCGTTGATGGAGAGAGAGCACCAGAGGCAAACTGATCTATTTGCCTAGAAAAAGAGAGTGTGGTTCTATTATGGATCGATGACATCATTTGCAACGCATTCGACAATATATTGAACGACTGCCAACTGATGATAAACCCATGAATATGTGATTTGTAAATGTCGAAAAGTGAAGAGAGGAAAAAATAACTCACCTCTTACTCGACACAACAAACGCAAATGACTTTACTTCACCGCAAGAGTTGATTTCTCATTACAGCGATTTTGCTGTTTTCTTCATATGGCGTTCATTGCTCTTTATGAGCATCGTTAAAATTTCATGAAACTATATAAGCAACAATGACAACAACAACAACAACAAGAAGAAGAAGCAGGGAAAAAAATGAATCGCTGTGTACAACTCTAAAAACATGGGCAATATTTGCACTGTGCCGTATGTATGCTTGGCAGAAATTATGTTTGCTTTGGAGTGTTGCAAGTGTACATATGCACACACCACTGACACGAATGTGTCAGTCGTTCGTTTGCCAAACGTTATTCCATCCTTTCTACAATCCGGCGTTATCATCCTTCGGATCGGTTCAAACTGTGCCGAAAGACGGTCGCTCAAAATTGAAGGCATCGCTTTCTATCTTCTTTTTTTTCGGTTGAAATTGAGGCACTCGGCTTCTCATGAGTCATGTCACAAGTTGCTCTCTCTATAGCGATGGGTTCATGTGTATACCCCGAAACGAATACAATATGGATTGTGGATTGTGGAATGTATACTGTGTACTGTTGGATACGCACAAAATGCGAACGAACGGAAAAATTATTGCATGTGCGCCGCGCGCACGTCGAAAATAGAATTTCCAACTACAACAAACTCAATACACACAATCACTCCCTTTCTCTCGCTCATTTACTCGCTCGCTGGCTCGCTCTCGCAATCCCATCCACATCGATGTGATGCGATGTGCTGTGAATTTGTTTTGGTTGTTCCGATTTGTGTGCTCGACAAGCGCTCTCTTTCTCTGCTCTGCTTCGGCTCAGCACTGCTCCTCCTTTACCGAAAAGTTTTCATGCGTTCTAGGATGTTTTTCTACGCTCTCAGTCAGTGTTGATGGTGGAAACGGAATGTACGGCTTCAACTTCGAATTGCTGTGAAATTTTTGTGTATTTCCATTCTTATTAGTTTTTTATTCGTCTCTTGTGGTGTCATTCAATTTGGGTGTGTGTGTGTTGTCTATGCACGAACAAAACGTTTACGGTTAAATTTCGAGTGTTTTTCAACTTCTAATTTAGACTATATGCTCAATCAAAAAGTCGTGGTCTTTTTTAGTGGCATCTTGTTCTTCCCACAAATGAAAGACGTATAAAATGGAATGAACAGCGTCCATTCCCTTTGGCAACAGCAGCAAATCTATTGAAACCGAAGAATTTGAGCATCATAATACGAAAAATTGGAAGCGCAATCAACAAACGACAGCGAATAAATAAAAAAAATAGTCGGGAAGTGAAAAAAAGGCCATAAATAAGAGAAAAAACATCATCGCCATCATCGACAAATGTTGTTGTGTTTTGTGTGTGGCACAATATTTTGTGAATATGCGACTGTAGGTAGTAGATGTGGCCAGTATAACAATTACGACTGCTCAGATATTAGTTATTTCACGACAGCCATTCGATAATAACGTGAAAAAGTCTGTTCGCGTTCTCTCGCGTTTGTTTTAAAACAACAAAAATTAATACACACAGCAATTTCAATATGACTGATTAGATATAAAACAAGTGCTTTTGCTTTGGCTGCCGTTGCTGACTTTTTTTTCTCTCTCTCGGTTACTGCTGCTGCTGCTGTTGAGCGGACGAGAAAAATCGGGCGAGCGAGTGAATGAGTGAGCGAGACAGCGTGTGTGATACTACGTGTATTTTCACTTGTTAGCTCGACGGTACTGTGTTGGAATTTCAGCGCACAGAATACATACCGTGTGGCATCGATTTAATCAATTTCAATATTATTTACGTTTATTATGTTTCACGCAGTACAAAAAATAAATGACGTAATGCGACCGTCGACTTAAATATAGTTGAAAAAAAAAATCATACAGAGAAAACCAATCGAACATCCACTACTAAACGGAATCGTACCGTGTGTGCGCGCGCGAAAAAAAAAAACTAAATACAACATAACAGACATATATTCGCTGTTTCAAAACGTTTTAACTATTGTGATTGCTCAGGAAAGGTTCAGTGAAAATTTACTGTTCGTTATTGAAGGTTGCTAACTGGCAACAGCGCGCGCTTCAGTTGTTTTCTTGTGTGTTTCGGTTCACAACTGTTTTTTTTTTACACCGTGTTCAGACAAATTTCACGTCATCCAGCGAGCGATACACACTTTACGCGTTTTATTCGGAAAATATATATTCTGCTCAAAGTCAAGAGCAAATTGCGTGCGAATTTTTTGTTTTGCAATTTCGTGAAAAAAAAAATTCTGCAAATTTGGTTGTTTTGCTGAAAATTAAAGCTGAAATAATGGTGGTCGAGACGAATACAAACAGTCATCGTGGAACTTTGTTCTATTCGTTTGAAGTTCCAAAAGACCAGAATTTACTGGCTGGCTTCAAACGACATTACAGGTACAGCCACAACACACAGTGATGTCTATATATTTGAGAATGCCTTTCGATTGTTCTCGGTTTTTCTCAAAGGAATTCTGATTTTGAACACCATGAAATGAGTTTTTTTTTTTTCTTTATTCTTTAGTAACACTGCGAAATTTATTCAAATTAAAATTATTTTGACGTTATAATTGACGAATTTGAATAATGTTTTTTGTTTTATTTATTTTTCGTTTGTAGCACGGAGTCAGGATGGGATAATCCATTCCGGCCTGGTGGCGATTTATCGAGAGAAGCAGATGAAATCGTGAACATGATCAAAGGTAAGTGGCCGTTTTTTTTTTCACTCTCGTCGTCCAAAAATCAAAGCGGAAAAGTGAAAGTGAGATGTCAACCGAAAACAATGGTCAAGATAAATTATTCAATCGAAATCAGATAACAAGCAACATCATGACTTTTTGCCATGAAAAATAATATTTTGTCATTCGAATTGGAATGAGACAGCGAAAAATAATGGAGTGTAACATAACAAAGCAGAAAAAAAAAAACAAATCAGTGCCGACCCAGAGCGACACATAGAAATGATGTAATGCATCAGAAATTAATTGCATACAATTACCCACCACAATCGTCGATGAAATCGCGACATTTTTTTAAAAATATTTTCACCTTCAATAGGTCAGGACGAGCTGAGCGAGATAGAGAGAGAGAAACCAAACAAAACACAAATACTCCACATCATTCATTTTATTGCCGATAAATGTGAGCTCGCAATCGAAAGCATCACAACAACATTTGTGCTTTGTGCCGACGCAGACTGAATATAGTCAAATGAATCATCAAGGCATTCAATTCTCAATTTTCAATATGGCAATATGTAAATGTGTTTGTGTTGCTTAATGAAATGAATTTGTGTGAATGTAAAACAGACGAGAGACGCAGCAGAAGAAAAAAAAACAGATCTCGCGTTTATTTGAAATAATTTGCACGACTGTGGGGACACTGTGGTTTGTATTGATTTGATCGTGTGTGACGGGGTCAACTGAATTATTCAATGATTGATTTATTTTGCCATATTTATTGCGCACGAGATGATTTAACATACAAAGACACAAATGACAACGAATCTCGCTAACCTTTTTCATTTTATTTGTGCGCGTATCTCATTTTATTTTCGGCGAATGATGTTCTCTCGAAATCTTTTGTTATTTATATGGCCCGGCTTTTCGGATTGTTTTCCGTGGGCATCGAAATATTGCGATATAATCTAGCAGCGATCGCTTTGTATCACTTCGTTCAAACAGAAACCGATGCAAAACTGATGATAATTTTGCCCATTTGGAACCGTTCAGATTTCATTTCTACTGTCGGAAATTGTGGGGACGCGGTATTTGCGTGCATTGTTTGCTCCGTTGAGTTAAAATAAACACCATACTACAATGAAAGGTCAATATGAATAGAGGCTTATGTTTACAAATGGGCTTTTAAAAATGATCGAAACAGATATTTTTATCTGCAATTGATCAGAAACAACATCGTAATAGCGCCACTGCCATTGCTGCTACACTGAATATATTTGAATATCCTGTTGACTGTGATTATAATCGTTTAATTCGTTCCGCCCGATTTAATTGTTACATCGCATCGCATATCGCATTGTGCTCAACACTTTGGTGTGACTTTGTAATTATGAGTGCTGCGGTTCTATTTGCTCAACGAAATCGAACTGGCTAATTATTGTGTTTTCGCTAATGCAACATTAATTGCTTGGCGCTGTGATAAAGAGTACAGTTAAAAATTCAAAATTTCGTTGTGTGTTTACAGCACAAAAAGGCAAAACTGAGCCGAGCCCCAATTTTCGTATCTACTTCACTTATTGTGTATTTGTTTGCGTTCCGTTTTGGGTTGTTATTTTTGGAATCGGCGATCCGTGAAAATCTGGTTAAGCGATTTTTCAGAAGAGATCAGTGGATTTTCTTTTTAAAAAACTTATGTGTGTATAAATCTGATGCGAATTAAGAATTAATGTACACAAAATGCGTCGTTTGAGAACACCACTTGAAATCGATCATTACGATTCGGTTTGAAAATAGAAGAAACTAATCTATGTACGGGGAGCAACGGCGAAACAGAATAAAAAAAAAATACTTCAAATATCGTTTTTCTCGAGCAATGTTACGACTCCGTGAAACGCGAGTCTTTTGGGAAATGAGTTCATTTCGTTCGATTTGGTAGCAATATATTTCTTTGGAGCGTAGAAAAACACAATAATTTCCAATGGAGTTGAAAGTTTTGTGTGTGTGTGTGTGTGTGTTTTTCGAAAATCGAAAATATTGTTCGTGTCATTTTCCCCATTGAATATAATCTTAACAACTGCCAAAGGATCACCCACGTGATTTGAATGAAGTGACGCGTTCACCATAGAAACGAAGCACATTTGTTTCAATCGAGCGGCTAAAACGGCATTTTATGTTTTGAGTGGCATTTAACACAAATAGATGCCATTTCCCGCGTTAAGCCCATATATTGCGTATATAATTTATTTATTCCACGAAAATAGAACGGAATGCAAAATGCAACACACACTCTCGAATATCTATGTTTCGGTCGGTCGGTCGGTCGTTTCGTGTGAAAAACAATCAACTTATTCTAAATGATTCTACACGTTTCTTTTATTATTTTTTCGTTCCTCTCTCTCTCTCTGGCTCTGGCTCGGGCTGTTCTCACTTTAATACTAGACGCTATTGAAGCATTTCGAAAGACGCCATAAAATTGTGGCGTATTTTTAGCAATCTATCCGATTTCATACTAGAATCGAGTCTGTTTTTTTTTCTCTCCTGAAATTGATAAGTGAGCTCGACAGTGGGCTAGAACAGCATAGAAAGTGACACATTGAATTACTATATGCGTTCATAGATAAAATGATTGAGCGAAAGAAAAAAACGAAGTAAAACACTCCAAATGATGAGGTTTTAAAAAAAACGGCATAAACAGAATCGAATCGAAAGTGAGTGTGTAAAGAAAATCGACCTCGACAAAATGAGCCTCGTTCGTTGCTGGATTATGAACGACACATCCAATTTTTGCTTCGATTTTTTTTTTATATTAATCCATCTGTAATCCGTTAAACTAAAATAAATCATGTTTTTTTTTTCGTTGCCTTGACATACACACAGGTGGAAAGCCCATTACACCAAATGATGTTACTGATACCTTATCAAATGGACACACTACAGAAAACGGTGCTGTAAACGAAACGGTGACGAAAACGGAAGTAAGCATCGATTTTTTGTTCGTTCCAACTATTGTACTTGGTTGCTACTTGGCGTTTCTTTCGATGAATATATTTTCGTTGTTGATGGAAAAACGTTTACCGTTCTATATCAATAATTCTGATGTCATGCGTCCGTAGGCAGTGATTTTAATATTAATGTTTTGTTCTTTGTTTCTCTTTCGGTTTTTAGGCGTCACAGAACCAACAAAGCCCAAAAACTGGCAGTGGAAAAGATGCCGATCAAAATGGTGCACAAAATACTCAAGTATCAAATTCAGTTGTGCCGGGTCCACAGTCAGCTAGCCACGTTGTAGTCGAAGATAAAAAGAAGAAAAAGTGTACTTGTTGTGTGATACAATAGACAATTAAACTAAAAACTAAACAAAATGAAAAATCCACTAGATTCAAATGTTCAATGTTCACTATAAACAAACAAACAGAAAAATCCAAACACTAAAACAAAATCACTTATTTTCATAACTCTATGAATTTAATTCAGCTGAATGAAACCAATTTTCACAAGCACACTACAAACTATCGTTTTTTTTTTATATAATTTAGATTTAATAAATCAAATGAAAAAAAAAATCAGCTTTCCAAAAACTTATTCAAGAAAAATTCAAACAAAAAAAAAAATATACAAAAAATCCCTACACAAATTGTTCCAATTTAAAAAGTCAAACTACGACCAACTTTGAACTCTTGATCAACAAAAAAGAAAATATAACCGCGACAAAGCTAAATAAAAATGATAACAAAAAAAAAATGAAACACTTTACTAAAGAAATCTTTATGTGTACGTATTTATACTACATAATTATTATTAACTGTAATGATATGATATGATATGTAAAATTATCGAAATATTATTATATTATTATTATTGTAATATTAGGCTAATTTAAGTGAATGGATGGAAACAGCAGAGATCCAATGCAGCAGCTAAAGAAGAAAAAGAAAGATTAAATAATAGAATGAAGAGTATATTTAAATTGTACTGCAAACAAAGAAAAAAAAACAAAAAAAAAACTATATATTCAATCTAGTTTAAACGTTGCAATGACATGAATGGTTGAAAAGAAAAATGATTTAACAAACAATGAAATATACAGCTAAATTCTTTACACACAAGACACGTAAATACATCAACAGTATGATTAAATAGCAAAAAAACCGTTTCGCATTTTTTTATATTCGTTCGGTAATGTCAATTTTTTGTCGTTGTTGTTGCTCGCAATGCCAAAAATTGCATTCTTGTGTTTTCAACACTTATGACGCGCGCGCGGCACACCCTCAGTATCGCCCGTCCATTTGTTCGTTATGTCAAGTGATAAAATCGATTGCGTGAGCTTAATCGAGAGAAACAGCTTCGACATCTTTTTTTCTACTTTTTGCACACATTGTGATCGGAGTAGCTTTTGCAAGAGCAATCGAAAGTATTTATTGTACGTGACACTTGCGTTGAGAACAAGAAAAACTGTAAAAATTATCTGTAACAATGGGATCCTACTATTCCATCCTTAGTAACGATGCAGATTCAAATGGTCAACACCATTTCTATTTTTATGTATCGGATGAACAGATGGTTAACTGGTTCAGGCTATTCCATGGGGCCGTGCCCTTGAATGAATTAGAGGTAACTTTTTTTTTTGTTATTGTTTTTCAATTCAAATTTGTGCATAGTTTAATTAGCTGCTCAATTTGTCACATTGCAAAAAAAAAACAAAACGAAAAACCAACAAACAGATGAAATCAACGCAAACCGAAACAATTGAAATAACCGAAGTAGAAGATTATCCCGAAGTAGTTGAAGCAAAATACACACAAACCGAGACGTTATTCGATCAATCTCCTCAGAACTATGAAATACAACAATCGGCAGAGAACGAGAAGAAAAAGAAAAAGAAAGGATTTCTCGCATTTTTAAATTCGATAAAGAAACGAAAATGAAACACTGTAATTCTTTTTTGTTAAATGAACGAATTCGTGAAATCTCATCTCGAGATCATATTATAGCAGTACCTATAAACCGATGAAAAAAAAAATCTGTTGTCGCTTTTTAAAATCCATTTTTATCAATTTTATTGGCTTAGACGCAAATCAGAATGTGTTTTTTTTTTGTAAAATCTATCGAGTAGCTTTTGAAATAAAATTGAAAAGGTGTAATTGAAAATCTATTGTTTGCTTCCAAAATCTGAGATCAACAATCAAAATGGAAAGTAGTGAGAATATTTTCGATTCAATGCTGCCTGATGTTACTTATTCCAATTTTCTGGAGGCAATCGTGAATGGTGTAGCCTTTATCACACCATTGGAAAAAGAACCAAAAGGAAAGGGTGCCATTGCTATCAAGCGGAAACAATCTAATAAATCCGTTGAAGTGGAACAATTGACTGACCATGTCGACAAGGATGTTTTTCTTGAAAAATCCACCCAATCCGAGTCGACCAATCACATGTCAGAAGATGAGAGTTCGATTGGATCTTGCTTCGAATCCTTGAACAACATCACCAAATCCAATAAATACGGCAAAATCAAAAGACGCATTGAATCATTAAGAGTAAGTATATAGCTAAAAAGATTGGTCAACCGATTATCAATCAAAATGTCATGATTTTCAGAGCGAATTTGAGGCTTCGAACCACCGTATGGGAGTAATTTTGGAACGAATTGGCTCAGTTACTGAAACAGTGAGAAAACTTTGATTGGAGAATCAGAATATCTCTCTGAAATTGACTTCGAAGTTGAAATCGAAAAAATAAAAAGACAGACTTTTTTTTGCTTAAAACTTGTATCTACATTTATTCATCCTGCTCATTTACACAACAACTTTCTGCACCACCCCGGATTGTAACACTGATGGTATTACTATTGATTGATTTCGATGTCTTCTTAGTGCATTTTCGGTGACTGTTTTGTATAGATCGCCATAGCCATTCCGATTGTGTTTTATTTCTAAGGCCATTTTCAAGATGTTCCGCGAGTATGCTTGAACTAAACATCCAGCTGCTACGGTTTCGTATTTTGAATGACGTAAACCGATGCAATATGCTCTTGAAGATCGCGCTAAGCTGGTAAACATGGCATAGCACTGCATAAGTGCTTCACCTAAATCGTGAATTTCGACAATTCTCTCGTTAATTGAATCACCGTATCGATTCAATAGCATCTCTGACGAAAATTGCACACGCTGTATTGAACTCTCTAACTCGGTCGCTGCTTCCATAAGCGATGGATGCAGATAATCACCCAAAAAGTGCTTCTCTTTCACATCTTCGATCGTAATCATATTGTTCAATCCAAATTTGACCCAAATTGAGTCCTTATAACTATGGGCATTTTTTCCGAAATGATCCTACGGAATGAACGAAACAATTTTGTATATTTTGAATGTGTAAGAATCTCAAAATGTATTTTACCATAGCGTGCTGTAATCCTACTCGACCAGCATAGCTCTTCAACGAGCTGCTAGTTTCGTGGTACTGAAGCTGAATGGCGTTTCGTATGTCTAGATCAATTGGATGCCCTTCAATTGTTACTGGAGTATCGATCAGGTCCATTGCGAATCGAGTGAGATTCCACAGAATGTCTTGCGAATAAGCCTTGGTAACCGCACACTCCAAATCGACCTTTGGATTGTCGTACTGATCTATAATACCTGCATTCAGATAAATCATACTCTCGAGTCCATACACATCACACGCCAATTTGGCTAGGCAATAACGAACGTGTAGTAGATCCCTAAAGACACGAAAACATTATTTGAACATTGATTGATATGGAATGATGGCTAAAGTAATCTGATGATTTTTACCTCAATTTCTGCGAATTGATCTCGGCGCTGATGGAAAAGTTGATCAGTTGTTTCAACATATTCTTTGCCTGGATCAAGTTCAGAGTGGCAGATTGTAGTCTCGAACTGGTAACCAGTTTCTGAGATATTTTACGGTCGTCCAGTCCTTCCGAAAGGATTTGACTCTTGCTCACGTGAACGTTAGAGAAGTTTACAGTGGCGAATGGAACATCATTGCATCCAATCATTTTTTCGCATTGGTCAACAATTGTGATGCCAGAGGACTTTGGATCGAGAACAATCGTGAGATAAGCGTCGAAATATTCATCATCGTCTTCCTCATCCACCTCGAACTCCCTTTTTAATTCGTCTGACTTTTCGGCAACCACTATCAAGAGGTTTACGTGCTGCGAAATTGGTACAAATGATTTGCTGCCTGAAAAAATCAAATGAATTTGAATATTACCCAGTCATTTTCGCTTAAAATTTTTGAAGCGATTTCTATACGTCAACCCAAAAATTACCGTTCAAAACATAGTCACCATCTGGCGTTTGTTCCACTTTGACTGGTTGCGGCTCTGTTTTATTCAAGGGATCATGTAAGCACGTTGCTCCGATTATCTCACCTACATTTTAACATAAGAAATACTCCACAGCTTCAATATAAATGTTGTGAATGCAATAAATTCATCAAACATACCTTTAGCCATGTCCATCAGATATTGATTATGATGACTTAAATTCCCATGGTCAGAAATAGCTTCAACAGCTAATCGATGACCAGCTAAAACGAAGAAACTTTTAATATCGTTCGCCTCACATTCACTGGCCCAATTCATTTCGCTCTTGAAGTAACCCAAACCGCCAAAACGTTGATGCACCGAAGCGGCAAAAAGATTCAGATTTCGAAAATCGCCCAGCATTTGATTGGACACGTCTCGAAATCGTAGATCGACAGGAGTACGAGCACTATCAGCAAAGTAACTATCAATTGGTTGAAGCTTTTCGGTCATAGCATTGAAATCTTTGACCTCCATCACTTGAGGATACGTGAGATGCTCAACGTCAATTTTGCCAATAAAGAAATTTTTGATCAACGGCGGCCGTTGTGGTAATTTCTGTTGGAACTTTGTCACAATGTGAATATTATCTAAATTAATAATCTTTTGGATTTCGTCTTCGGAGAGTGGACGATAGGTTTCGACATCTTTTCGTTCGGCATTCGTATTTTCCGTGTTTTCCGATGATATTTTCGCTGATCGGCAACATGATGAAGAAACTATCGACCTTCGGAGCAAACAAGTCGATTTGTTTTTCACTAAACTGCTTTTGAAATTCATCAAAAACATCGTCGTTTCACAATTTATTTACAATTCTACGTTTGAATGTGTGTTATTTTCCAAACACATTAAACATAACCTCAACACATTGACAGCAAAGTGACAGTGGACTAAAGTCATCAAATCTCCAATGTCAAAGCAAGTCTTGGTTGGCTTTTGCAAATAATGAACTTGAAAATATATTGCCCGGTTAACATGTACATTGCTGTTGATGATTTGGGAAATAATCAAACGATGAATAAACAAAACATTGGTCTTACCGTTTATGACATATAATTGTTTATTTTATTTCCATTCGGTTTCTTTTATTATTTGGATACAATGTTTGTGTGTGTGTGTGTGTGTTTTCAATTTAAAAATCTACGGAAAAATTATATTTATATAACTGAATTGAGCTATAATTATTATATTTCACTTGCTTGCTCAATCATAATCTATGTAAATCGAGTCAACTCTATCGTTTGCAATATAAAATTTCTGTTTATTCAAGCTAAAAAGAGTTGTCTTTTGATGCATCTTCTTTCATATGCTTCATATTGTGTGCGTGGAATTTTTTTCGTTTTGGAAGGGTTAGAATGAGGTGTTTGCATATGTGTTCAACTTGTCTAAGAACATTCATCATTTCGATATTTTCACTTTAGAAAAAAAAAATCGTACGAAAAAATTCATTTAAATCTGGTATCGTCATGTATAAAAAAATTCTATTCACCTCGCAGACACTTCATGGAAAACATCAAATTCCAAATAATACCGAAAATAAAATCGAAACAATTCATCAAAACCAAAAAAAAAAAAATAAATGAAAAGAAAACTGAAAACAAACATTTAACAAATAAAAAAAAGAAGAAATTAAGGAGAGAGAAAAAATGAGAAAAATAACAAAAAAGTTTTTAAATCAAATGTCTTTTGATTAGTACACAAATATATTTACAAAAATCATCGTTTTAGTTTTTAGTGTATCAAAAATGTATAATCTAATTCGTCGTCCCGTTCATCGAAGCCGGATGATCTGTCTGTTCTGTGCAACCACCAACATCATCAATTAAATAAATACATGTGCAATCGCGGGCATGAGAATTTTGTTTGTGTGCCTGTGGGGATCGTGTGTCTCCTGTTCATCCTACTTAAATCGTAATGTGATGGAAAAGCATTTCGGATTGTTCTTTTTTTGTTGTTGTCAGATGGTTTCTCATTCAAGTCTTAATGTTTAATAAATATTAATAATATTACACACACAGAAATTTATGCTATCATATATCTTATGGTCTACAAGTAGCTGTCATTTGACTCATTGCAGCTGTCTTCAGAATAATAATTTGTTTTTGTTTTTTTTTTATGTATTTGGTTCGATTTGCCCGCGAATCATATTTGTCACATGTAAATTCGGCTGTCGTTCGGCAGCCGAAAAAAAAGAACTCGTTCGTCACCTTCTTCCATAGCTTTATGGATAATTTTATATAAAAAAAAACCTGTGGTTATTAACTTGGTTCAGCAATGGCCATATACCTTTTCTTTGTTCTGTTGGATGGCACTTTCAAATTTGAATCATGGAGAGTACGTGTGTGTGTGTGTGTGTGTGTGTGAGGTCGTTGCAGTTAATATAAAATGTCACCTACCGACAAACATTTATATTTTGGTATGATCGTTTTTGCTGTCACTAAATAAATTTACTTCTGGTGTTATTAGATCTTTTTAATCATCTTCATTAAGCTACTTAAATAGAAATCGACTTCTCTTTGCGTCCATCAACAAATGCAAAATGGAAAAAAAACAGAAAAAAACCAGAAGGAAAAACACTCTTGTCTCTTGTAAAAATTTCTATTAAAAGCGGCATTGAGTATATTATTGTTACTTGTTCAGATGAAATTTGCGTGTGAAAAATGGGAATGAAATAGTCTGTTCATTCATATATACGTCAATGATGTGAATGGGTTGTGCGTTTGTGTCGAATTTTGTTTAAGCACACATTTTCAAGTGCGGCAACTAAATTATTATCTATATCGTCTAATGAAAGCCCAGTCCAATGAAATTTGAATGAAAAAAATTTTGAGTCTCAAAATACAGATCTTGTCTACTCATTGCTAATACACTTGTTGAAACCTCTCTCTCTCTCTGTCTCTTTTTCGATTTGCAAAAATAAAGCGATTTTGGAATGCATGTTAAATAGAAAAAAAATGTCCTGAATCAACATTGGTTAGCATCGTGTCGTGTCGTACACCAAATCGATCGATCGCATGATCACGACCAATCTGCAGCAATCTGCGTTAATCGTCTTTTTAAAATGTCGAATAAATTAATCTTTGTTATATTCCTATATTCTAAACAATTTCTTTGCCCAAAACAAATCATTTCTCTGGTTCTCTCTCTCTAATTTACAATTCAAAATAAATAGCCCGAAAATCATATGAATTTTTCTAGTATTTTTTTTTTTTTGTTCCAACGTACGAAGCGATCGATAGTATTTATCGAAATTTGGCTGTGGCCACTAAATGAATCAATATCAATTGCATAATTTTTTGTTTTTTCTTTGTTTAATGATTGAGTGCGTATTATAAAATATGTATTGTTTCTTTATCGCTTCTCTCAATTCATTTTCGAAAATGGCAATGTCATTTTCATTTTTTCTAATCGTTTTGTGAAAAATATGGAAATACTAGAAAAAATGTTCAAAATGATTCTGTCTTTATTTGTGGCTTCGTACAAACATCCATAAATGGCGCGGATGATTCGTTACGAAATCACATTGATCCGATATTAATTGGAGTAATTAGTTTGTTTTACTTGAATAATGATTTATGCAATATCGCTATTCAGCTGCATTAATTCATGATAATGTTTACTTATTTTCCTGCTCTTTTCTTTTCTCTGGCTACGAAATACATAATTCAGATTTCATCTTCTCATTCGCTCTCTCTCTCTCTCTGTGCGTCGGTTTATCTCTTACACTTAGCTTTAAGTACCATTCGCTTTGGGTAGTGATCGAACTAAATACAATTTTTCGCCCTGTTTGTTCGTATAAATTGGCGCTCTTTGGTAATGATCAACTGTAAAAGACAACAAATGGTGATTTAGTTTGATTTATTCTATGGAAGTAGAGTAAATTTGTGTCAAAAAAATACGTACCCAGTTGATCTAAACTGTGGAATTTCCGTTGTCCAATGCAATACATGCCGTTTTCAACGTGAACTCGGAAATGTTTGTTGCGACCAGGCGCTTTCAATGACACCGAAAAGTCACCCATCTGAAAAGAAAGAACCGTTATAGTCGGTACAGAAATGATCGTATCAACAAAATTTCGTGTGATTGGTTAAACAAAACCAAACAAAAAACCTACATTCGTTTCACTGTCTCTGATAAGAAAATCACCGTCGTGTCCGTGTGAATTGAGTACGGTATCGCATTGGCTGCGAGTGATGGCACCGTAGTACCATGATTTGCCAGCCAAATTTGGACGTTCCATTTGATTGTTGGCATTGTTCAATGGGGGAGGTGAAATGGAATTGTTCATCGTATCGTTGCGACGGTCCATGGAATCGTTGGTAGTTGGTGGGCATCCTCGATATGATTGCGATAAATACTCGGACAATTCTTGTAAATAGTTACGTGGTACTAATCCTATTTGGCCATTATTATTACGAGCTTTATACCTACGGAAATGAATAATCACAATAAATTTACATGTAAACAACCATCGCCGTAGACACAAACAATCTAAAACTAAACATATGGATCCGGATAGGAAAGTGTCAAAATAAATGTAATTGCTTACCATTCTGGATCGGAAGCCGGTCTGTCTACGATTTCGAGGCGATCGCCCTTATCAAACGTTAATTCCTGATCGTTATTTGAGTTGAACGAGTACAGTGCAACGACGATGTCCAGCACATTTTCGGCCATGGCATAAGTGTGTATTTGTTCGTCATTGTTATCGCATTCTTCGGTTGTGTAATTGCTGGGGAACCAACCGACAGCGTTCCCGCTTTGGCCTCGCCACCAGCCGTCATTCGATTTTTCGAGAATCAAAATCCGGGTGCCTTTTGCCAATGCCAACTCGTCCGGTTGCTGTGCCTGATAATTGTATTTTACGATAGCTGTTCCGATCGCCTCTGACGGATCGGGCGGTAAACGGCGTTGCATGGTTGGACTGTCGACGGTACGTGATGGCGAACAATTCGGTAGTGTCTTTGAGCCCGAACCTTTTTTCACCTTTTTCTTGATGCTGTCGAACAGTGACGGTTTCTCTCGTTTCACATAATTGCTCGGCACGTAACCGGATTGATTTCGACTATTCTGCACACGCCACCAATGCTTTGAATCATCCAGTAGCATGTAGCGTTCATTTTTTCTCAAATCCAACTCTTGATTTCCCTGCGCCGCATAATCATACTTTGCCACCACATAGACGATGTCATCTTGAGTTTTGCCCTGTTTCATACTGCCGGCCATTTGTACGGATTTAAATGGCGAACGATTTGTCGGTGTATCACAATGAAATTTTACGCTTCGTCTTGAGTTCAGTGAGTCACTGGAAACAAATTTGGCAAGGTTTTTTGTCCTTGATGGGCTTGATGCCTGAGTGTGTTGAAAACCACAACGGTGAATCGCTACTTCAACTAATTGCTGCTGTCGTTGTTGCTGTTGCTGTTGTTGTTGTTGTTGTGCTTGCGAGGAAATGGGAATATCTTGTGCACAACTTCTTTCAAACATAATCCCACTGAACAAATACACTAAAACCGCTTCGTTTGCTCAATCGATCTGAGCATTTCTGTAAAGGTGAAATAGAAAAAGAGACACACATAGAGACAGAGCAAACACAAAAAAAAAACACGATTAGAAATTATATTGAAGGCAAACAATCCAATTTAATCTGTTGGAAAACTGTGTATACGCTTTTTTTTCTTCGCCGACATTAGATGTAATTATAATTGTACACACTGGAAGCGAAATTGATTTTTCTAAAAAAACCAATTTAAAGCTTATCCATAACAATAAATTAACTTTGAATGCGAATATCTGACCAAGAAGCGGAGAAACATCCACGAAACATTCCAAGTATTTCTCACTCTGTGTAACCTTGCTACTAACTTTCATTTGGTGTTCATGCACACAGCACCGAAGAAAAGAAAAACGATAAGAAATAAAGAGACACACACACTCAACAGACAACACACTGCGAATGGCACAACAAGAGGAAGAAAAACAAAAGAAATCTCTCGTTGCATGCGGTAATTTTGCAATCAATCCGTTGATATGTTTGGGTGTTGGATGCGCGTATGTTCTTGTTTAACTGTCGTTGTCGTGCGTTTCAATTCAAACCATGAGCTTGTATAATGATATAGGCCAAAGATCGACGGTGTATATGGTAACGTAACATTTCATCATTTATTTTGTCAGATTCATTGATGCTGAAGCTGCTACTGCCGTTACTGTTGCTGCGATGGCGGCGGCGGCGGCGGCGGCGGCGACGGTTCGTTGTCTATACACAATGGCATATTCTCTCTAGCGAACTAGCTCTCTCCCTCTCAACCCACTGAATGATCATCGTACATCAAATAGAAATGCTCACATAAATGCGATTTATGGACGTGAGAAAAACATAACGCAAGCGGCACCACATTAATTCCGAACTCGACACAACAAACATATCACATCACCGTCATCATTTTTCTCATCTATTTAATGAGAAGGAATATGCTAAAAATATCCGTTTTGGCGTTTACGGTGTGACTGTCAACGTACACAGAAATTGAAACAGCACTAACAGCAGTAAGCAAATCGCATGGACTTGTCGCATTCGAAACACACTCGTTTCGCTGTAAATTGTTGCTTGATTGATAGTCGTTTTGATTTTTGAATGTGTTCAACATGTATAACCGGCGCTAGAATTTTATGTGAATCGAGACGCCCCGCTATTTTCAATCATTTCCGAGATCAAAAATGCGTCAAAACATTGAACTTTCGAAACATTGATTATTGCAATTAATTGCTGTGCTCACTGAGACACACAGATATAGAACGGAACAGACGGAACATTTACGTTGGTATTGTGCACATGAAAAATTTCACCAGAAGGATATTGCACTCGAAATAATCGCAGAATCATATTATTATTTTAGCCCATCCACACACAAATGCACTCTTGTTAACCAATACAACGACACACACACACATGCACATACACATACACACGTCCATCAAACGAATTTCAATTCTTCCTTTCTTTCATTCGTTTGTTTGTTGAAGAATGGACTGAAATCATCACATCTATTCTAGTTTCGACTGAATCGGTGTGTTGTTCTAATTCAATCGCAGAACTAGAACTGCACATCGAATGGATTGAAGTGAGATAGAATGAACTGGAAAATACCGCACATACAAACGAAATCCGCCCCAGCCCTTAAGTATTTTGTCACTCACACACACAATTACATGCACACGCAATCGATTCACTTGGCTCGTATTACCACCGAAACTGTCGTCACACAAATGCGATTCACGATTGCATATACGTACTTTTTTTTTCTCTCTCTCTCTCTCTTGTTTTCTGCTTATAGTCGATATATACGTGTATAGGGAATCACCAATGTGTTACGACACACAATCTTTTCACCACCGACAACTTTTTTTTTCTCACTTCTTTTTTTTTCTAACTCACTATTATTAAATAATGCTAATTCAATTGATTGCAGTTTTCTAGTTGTTTTTTTTTTCTCTCGGCTTGTATTTGCTTAGTCGACTTTCTTGTCTTCCTCGTTAGGTTTGCGAGTTGAGAAATCGAATATGTATATGCAAACAAATGCTCTTTCTTTTTATTTATTGTATGCGAACAGACCGACTGTTGTCTAGCGTGCGAAAGAGAAATACACAATGAATGGAATTGAAGCGAACGACTTTGCGGTCTCTGCCAAGCAGTAAATGACAGGGCAACCAACAGTACGACAACGAATTTTCCGACATGTGTCATTCGCATAGAAATCACTCACAGCATTTTTTTACTCATACCCGCGAAATTTGTTTTTGAAGTGTGGACAGAGGTTGGTTTTTGGCTTTGGTGATCGCATTAAATCATATTTTAAAGTCATGAACCGATTTTAACATGACAAACACGGCATTATCTTCCAGTTGCATGTGAAATTCTGCTGTATATTACAAATACGACGATAAATTTGCACAATCTCATCAAGTGAAATGAGCAATGGGTGCGTTTAATGGAAATGGAAGTGAACTTTGGTTTCAACATTACAATTTTATCTGCAGCTCAAACGATTTCTTTGAGGATAAATATTATTTAAGTCCATGCGGTTGAGATAAGAATTAAAAATCGTGTCGATTTTATCAAAAACCACAAAAAAATGAATCATTCTGTTCGAATCAGCTGTGCTAATGAGCAAAACCATATGCCATATAAACAAATGCTCTGTATGTAAGCAACAGCACTCACTCACTTACTCACTCATTACGGTAGAATAGCTGGTGCTTCTCTGACACTGCGTATGTACGAAGTATCGTTATCACTGTGTGCTGTTTCAATGTGTAAACGGCAAAGATAAATGTTATTGAGTAAAAGAGAGACAGAGTATGTGTATTGTATATAGCCATGTATTCGTTGAACAGCACAAATTTCATAACAAAAGAGAATAGAAGAGAGAACGACGGAAAAAATCGAAACTGTAGTCATATCGTTAGTAAATTGTGTGAAGTGAACATCGTTCTTGGCAACGTCATTGGAATAAAGTAAAACGATTTTGTGTTTGATAGAGAAGAAATAGCAGAAAGTTGTTGAAAATGACGATTTTAACCAAACCGAGTACGGTTGCTAAGCCAATACCAAAGGCTTTAAACGCAGAAAGCGTGGAAAATGGAGCAATTACTGAACAGGTACATTTTTTTCGATAAGTTTTTTTTTTGCACTCTCTTTCTCTCTCTCCACCACATCAAATATGACAAACAGCAACGCATTTACTTCATGCCTTGCTATCAATGTTACAAAATGTTGGTCCAGTTTTTTTTTTCTCTTCGAAATTTTAACATTTACAAAGCAACAAAAAATCGATATTCAATTTTTATTGTGTCAGCAGAAATTCTTTTTTTTTCGTCATATTTTCGAATGGCATCACAATTGACTGGTAAATTGCATATCAGACAATTTTTACATTAGCATTCCGTGCTCTGCTGCAAAAAGTGTGGCGTGTGTTTTGACGCTCACACACGATGCCATAGTTTGGATATGTACGGAACCGTTTGAACAATGACTGAAATTATGACAATCGCCTTTATTTTACTCAAGGGAATATCGCATTACAATAGCTCGCTCAAATATTAGTTTACCAAAAACAATTAGGCGACATTTGGGGCACAACAAATATCTAAACACACATCAGAATATTTTGAATTGTTCCATCACACATTTTATTTTTAATTGGCATGTGTTCTTTTCTGACTTGACAACGTTAAAAAATGGACAAAAACATTGTTGATAGGTTTAATTTTTTGCGATTTACATTTTCCGTGAAAGAGAATCAATCGCGTTACCGCTCCAAATTAATAACAAAGCAAGTAATTTTCCTTGCAATGAAAAGTTTAAATTTAAATTTTATCTCGAGCTGTTGCATTTCCAACAAATTTGTTTTAATTCAAGACGGTTCGTGTGTGACTCATGTAAATCACGTCGAATTGTATATAATTTACTCGCTTGAATTACATTCAAAACACAAACACTGCTTGTTATCGCATTCTCTTATCGTAATGAAAATAAAAAAAAACACCAGTCGAGGAGGAAACAAAAATTTTAATCAAGAATATTCTCCAGTTTAATTATGCTGTTTTGAATTTTCTGAAATAGGCAAACAAACGATAAAAAATGATAAACACAGTCAATTGTATGCGGGACAGATATTTGTATCAAAGTCTATCTTTTTTATTTCTCTATCAGCCATGATTCGGTATAAGAGCAATTGAAATGTTTATTCAATTGAGGTGGCATCTGAATTCTACTGCTTCGAATGAGCTTCGCATTGAATGCTCATTTTTCAATAAGAAGCGATACTTTACTCATATGCATACATTATGCCTATCTGTATCAATATATCGATCGATTCGGTACATAAAACTTTGTTACGTACTTCAACAAACTGAACTTCTGGCTGCTTGACACGAATAGCAATGTTATCACATTGAGATTGCGTCCTACTGAAAAGTCACATGCACATGGAACTGATAGTAATGAATTGATGCAATGTTTTTTTTTTTTATTTATCAACAGGATGAAAACGGCAACAATGACAAATTGTTCCTTTTGCGTGAACGCACACGAAAATTCACGGGCTCAACATTGCTACTGATCCTTGCCACATTGTGTCTCGCATGCATGGGCATTTTAATCGGATTGGTTGTCTATCGCCGTGTACAATTACAGCGAATGCATTTCCATGGAATGTGCAATCTCCCCTATGATGGTAACTTTGACGACAATAAAGATGTACTCAATGCATTGAACCAGCAATTCCAAGAATTGGAAAATTAGTAAGTTTATTATTTAGATCATTTGTTCTATCAGTAGGCGTTTTTATCTTATTTTCTTAGTTATTCGACGAATTTGAAATGACGTTTTTATCAACGAAGAACCTTTGAACCAAATACGATTTTTGATTGACATGATTTCTTTGAAAAAAAAAAAAACACACATTGATAACTGTTTTTGTGTGGATACATTTTGACATTCAAAGCGCATATTTTGCGTTATCAAAATGCGGACACGCTTAAGCGCTTGCACGATTTGATAAGTTTATATTGCTTGGAATAGTGGATTTTATACCAAAGTGTGACTATTCATGTCTATTGCCTCTATATAATTGAACCGCTGAGAATATATCACAGGCGAATCACGTCTAACGTACGCAAAAAAGGCACTTCGAAATGTTAGTATATGAGATTTTTCCATCTATGATTGCAACAATAATGTAACTCTCTTTAGTGCAGTGGATTCAAGTTCACTCTTTTCCAATGAATAGAATCGAATTCCACTTTTGCAAAGCATTTCATCACAAGGCCTGTTTTTATTATTCTCAGCTGTTTAATTATGCTGTCGAGTTCAACTCAATTTGTTTTATTCAATGTGTCCAAAACGCATAAATACGGCATCGCATAAGGCAGTTATCGCATAAATATCGTGCGATAATTTTCTGCTTGCGTTGCCGCAGTATACGATATTTCAATAGCCATCTTACGACGCACGTTCGAATTGCTTTACACATATAACGAAGCGAACGCAAGCGAGCGTCGCAAGATGACGGTCATTGAAATATCGTATACTGCGGCAACGCAAGCAGAAAATTATCGCGCGATATTTATGCGATAACTGCCTTATGCGATGCCGTATTCATGCGTTTTGGACACATTGGTTTTATTATCATAATGTGTTTTGCCCTTTGAACTTTCGATTTAACTAGGCTAATTTGACAATAGCGTACTATAGACATCAGAAATGATTTTACTCGTTTGTACCACAAGATGATTGAGCCAATAAAAAAGCAAAAACGATTTCTTCGGAAATGCGTCGATCTCCTACAATCTTATCTCTGTTCAACAACAAAATAAATCGTGTTAGTTCAGAGAAAGTTTTCAAATGGAATTGTAGTCATTTTCGTTATCAGTTGATGTTATGGCATTGAATGCAATTCCGCGGCAATACAATAAGTTTGTGACTTGTTATTATGACTGGCACAATGAACTCGCACAAATGAATGTTGTCGATTTGAAACTTCACGTAATGATATAATTCATTAATTATAATCCTGTATCACATTTCAGTAATTCTGCTGAACGGCTCCAGAGTCTGTTTGATGACCAAAATGGTTTTGATCGTGATTTTTTCCGCGAGGAGTTTGACTTGGACCTTACCGATGAAAATTCCTATGCTAAAATCAATGTGCCCGATTTCCGTGATGGCCGCGTCGGTCGATTCCTGCACGATTTCAAGGGCAACCAAACGGCAATCATCGATGAAAGTACCAAACGATGCTTCGTGATGCCATTAGATCGTGAATCCATTTTGCCGCCAAAATCCTTGGCCGATGTCATTATGAAGATGTACATGGGCTACTACGACATCAATACCACATCGATTCGGAAGAATATGCGCGTTGTAACACCAGCTCTAACCGATTTGTCATCAATTTCGCAGAACATCCAAAATGCATGCGATGGAATGGACATCTATCAGCTCGAGAAATATGTTGGTGGAAGTGAGTAGCATCCAAAAATAGTTTTTTTTCAATCATTCACTAAATGCATACAATTTAATGCCAATTTGCAGTGGTCAAGCGCAGTGTGGACTTATCGAGCGATGGAAAGTATGCCGAATTCTCTGGAAACTTCATCAAATACAACATCATGAATATCGACGCATTGAGTCGCAAATAGGAGATTGATTCCTTTTAAAAAAATTTGCTTCAAAGCAGATTTATTTCATTTTTTTTTAGCAGTGACATTTAATTGAAACTGATTACTATAAAAAGATATTTGGTACAGTTTGATAGAGCGTTAAATTCGAATGAATTTTTTTTTAAGAAATTGAATTTGTAGTAATGTTTCTATCGTTTGATTATTATCGTATTTTTCTCCATTGTAAAGCAGGTAGATTTAAATATTAGTATTTGTGCACACAATTATCTCACTCACTATACAGACAGATGGATCGATGAACAGCAAATGAGTATTGCTTAAGCAAAGGCTATATCCGATTACGAATACAATTAAGTGATTGATATATTACGTACAATATTAAATGTCATTCAAAGAAAACTAAACAATAAGTTATCTAGACAGGGACACAATTTGTTTGTTGGTTTAAATTTTGAAATAGTTTTCGTTTAGACTCAAGTAATATCTCTTAACTTTTCAAGAAAACTATCAACAATTACATTCCTCGAATTATTTATATTGAATTTGGCTCAAAATTACTTTGTCGCTCTTGCTAAACTAGATTCATTTTCAAGTCTTTGGTGAATTTACCCAAATTGTGAATCACAATTTGTGATGCAACCTTGCAAAATGTGTGCATTTAAAGTCAATAAGAATTTCGTTCAGTATCCATCGTACAATTGAAAATAGCGGCAAATTTACAACAAAAACAATTAAAACGACACAAACAATATCTACTATGCTATGTAAAATAAAACTGTATCTCATGGTCAGTCAAACTATATTTTGTAAACCAAATAATAAAAACTCAACCAAAGAAACACGCATTTGTTTTCATTTTGGCTTTAAATATGAACTCACATTTCTTAGAAAGATAATGTGCGACGAAGAATACATGACTTTCTTTAGACAATTTATTATTTCATCGGAATCTTTGTTGAACGAATTGGTTGTTTCCAAAAGAAAGTAAACACCATTCACTGTGAATGTATGTGCGAATTCGTTGTGATGACGTAATGAACCGATTGCGATTTCTATTACCCAAAACACCCTCAACACACACTCGCATACAGAATGTTCGTATAGATTTAAGCTTCATTCGTCATCAGAGCAAACTTCGTTGCGATATTCAATATTTGAACTCATTTGTATGTATCCAGGGGCATTTATCTCTGAACAGATTCGTATGAGTCTCAAGAGACTTGAATCATTTTGCATTACATTGCACGTTATACTGCGTCAAAGATTCGTGACGAATCTCTACGACTCGCGCGAATCGCAGTACACTATACAGATCGCTATGGTGTTTACATTACAGAGACTCGTAGAGAGTCGAATCAGTGTCCCTTTAAATTTGACAAACGTTTTAACACTTCCATTACAATGGCACCGCTCACACAAGTTGAACAAATTATTGGAGAACGTTTACCGATCGGTATAGAAAAAATTATTGAGCACGCGGGATTTGATACTAAAAGCAGTTTGGCATTATTAGATGAAAATAAAATAAAAGAAATTGAAAATCACGTGAACGAAAATTAAATTTCTTTTGACGGGAACTGTATATGAAAATATCGTGCAACAAGATCTTAATTTCAAATTTAAACCGAGACACAAAGCATTGCTTTTGGAATTGTCAAAAAAACCATTTCATCACAAGCAAAATAACGTAAAATAGAAAGTGACTTGGAAAACAGTGAGCCAAAAATTATTGTTGCTAAAGACATAAATACAGATGAATTGAGAACTATTCAATTGAGTCAGCAAGAACTCTTCCTTAGGTTTTTCAGTTTTTTTTTCTCTCAATTTTTCAATTTGCTCTGGCAACTGCAGCAGGAAAATTTTATGGCCTGGTTTGAACTTGAAAGGAATTACGTTTTCATACGAATTATTTTTCACAATTTCCCTGTCGTCGTTCACATGTCTCTCGATATCGGCAACAACATCAGCATCGATAGCTTGCAAAGACGATTCAGTGTCAAATGCACATTCTTGCAAAATATGTTTTATGCAGAGATTGCATATTTGCTGCTGAGTAGGCCTGAGCTGAGCTGAATTTGCTAACTCAGGCGCCTGAAGCGATATTTTAGCGCACTTACGGTGCAAAATTGTTGTGGATCGCTGGTATCCACCCAAATATAATTGATAAACAGCGTGGATTCCAGCGACCCAACAATTTTGCACCGTAAGTGCGCTAAAATACCGCTTCAGGCGTCTGAATTAGCAAATTCAGCTCAGCTCAGGCCTACTCAGCAGCAAATATGCAATCTCTGGTTTTATGTCAGGTGAAATTATATCATTCAGCACATTTTCAACTTCTGAAAACAACTTTAGCGATGCCTAAAAATCACAAACCTAATTAAAATCGAACTATATTTAATGAGATAAAATTTATCATTTATTCATACTATTATCAATTTATATTTTATTCAGTGTTATGTGAAAAAGCAACTAACACTTGGTAAACAATGGCATAACCGTCAAACTGACGCCACGAATCTGTTGTGCGAGCGATTCGTAAAAGATTCGTACGAATCTTTGAGATTTGCAGTGATTCGAATCAGTTTACATTTGAGCGTGTGTAAAAATTCAAAAGATTCGTGAGAGATAAATGCCCCTGGGTATGTATGATGAACTTGAGAATGTTTCTATGAACTCAGATTTAAATGCCATTAACAATTTAGATGATTTTGTTTCAATGAAAAATAGCACGGAATTTTATTTCGACGAAATTCTAGGCTCACATGATTTTGTTTATATCCACATAAATTTGAATCCAATTCAAATTAATCTTTTTTCATATTTATCTTCTGAAATGAGCCATCCAAAGTGTATTTAACGCCATCTGAAGTCATATGTAAATTAATCAATTATTACTGTGTGCCAAACCATTGACATTGACGCAACATTTGTTATCAAACGGATTTTCGTGTTGGTTGTTTGCGGGAGAACAAAATTTTGGCAATTTCGCATAAAACTTCATTGTTTCAACGAAAATAGACTGATAGTAAAGTAAAAAACTTGAGAATGCCATTCATTTGGAATAATTTTGAATGTGAATTTTTGGACGATGAAGAACCGTACGAACAAGAACAGTTCGTTGTAGTTGAAAAACTAAACGTTGAGCCAAGCGAATACTACAAACGCTTTATGGTGTGTATTGAAAATGATTGAATCACAATCATCTGTGTGCAATCAATGCTTGTATGGAACGTCATACAAGTTGATCGTGGTGGCATCAATATCATAACTAAGCAACAGATCATGGAAATTAGATGAAATAGGTCGATTCTGATAGGAAATGAGCCCATTCAATTGCTCGAATCGAGAAATCCGTTTGGCCATATATTTGAATGTCGTTGGGGAGTATGGAACATCATGCAAGCAGACATTCCGTATGGCATTGGAACAAACCTTCGTCGAGCATCGATTGAAATTGATTTGGATACTTACGGAGATGATGCATTTCAATTTTTACCACCGATTTTACGCCATTTGGAACATCTGAAAGTCATAGTAGGAGGCGATGGAACTGCAATCGATTTTCAAGAAATGTGCCCGAACTTAGTTGATTTTGAATTGATTGGTCATTGACGATTAGCGAAAAACCGTGGGAACGGCTACATCGTTTCGTTATTGACAAAAGTCATACAAATGGGGGAACGATTTTGCGATCATATTTTAAATGGAATCCGCAGCTCACATGCGTGGAGTTTGTGTTACCCGAAGGATCGTCCTCCGTTTTTTCTGCACTAGCAAACTTACGTTTGCTTGAAAAACTCGTTATAGACTGTGATGGAATAAAGCACATACGAGGTAAGCACATCGCTCTCCTTAAAGATCTGCAACATCTTACGGAACTGAAGTTGCGGTATTTGAACGTAAACAATCTGAAGGGTGTTTTCGACTCTTTGACAACATTCATTGGCCTACGCAAATTGAAACTGTCTTGCTGTGAACCTTATCAATCAATCGGTGACAATGAACACATCTATGAGCGGTCTTGGGTCAAATTGGGTAAACTACCGAATTTGGAATTTTTCAGTTCGAAGCAGTTTAAAATAACCAAACCAAATCTGCTTAAATTCGTTCGATTCGCGAAGCGATTGAAAACTCACAAGCTAGAATTTCGTTTGAAACGTTACGAATTGAAATTAAAATTAGTTGATGTATCGGAATGTGGAGCACCCAGCGGCTCTCACCTATCAATGCTGGATTCATCTGAGTTTAAGCAATTGAAGGTGTTCGGAAATGATTTATCATGGTAAGGTATGTGCTCCCAAGAGCTTAAAATTAAATTGGACTCAAAACTAGCTGATTCCATTTTTCAGATCAAAAAAATGTTAGAATCTAATGGTCGATAGAGCCGTACTCAAAATGGCTGTTTTTGACCTATTTTTCAACATAATTATTGATATAAAACCAATAGGTTATTCAAATAGAATCTGGTGACATATCATTTTTAGGGTTTTTTGGGACGCTGTATACGAATCCGTTGTCAAAAATTAGCTAATGTTGCTTTTAAAAAAAGTTTTAGTACAAAAACATGGTTTTTTTTTAAACAAATTCAGCCATATAGCAAAAACACATGGTTCCAAGTGTATTTTTAACACCAAATTTGAACTCAGCGCCTCATAATTACCTTAAGACTGACTATGCTGATGACGAAAATCGAATAATCTCAGAACTAAAATTTTCTAGTAGTGTTCACGTATCGAAAAAAATCACATTTTCCCACGTATTTTTACACCAAAAGTAAATTTTTGTTCAAAGCAGCCATTTTTATGGTTTTTTAGGCCGCAGAATTCGAATCCATCCAAAAAGAAATAACAAAATTTTCAGTGGATATTTTTGAATTGAAACATTTTTTCAACTTGATCCATTATTTCGAAGAGAGTTGTGATTATGTCGATCGTTCACTTGGGAAACTTCAACCTAGGCAGTTTTTCCGTTCATGGAATCGTTTATTT